ACTCAAACCACGATTAAATGAAACTCATTACAAGAAACTCATGTTTCGATTCAATATACTAACCAAGTATTTCTTAAATTACTCGTTTTGGAATGTAATTGTGGTGCAAGGTGGTTTATTCACAATTATGGCAATTAAGTCATACATGGACCCCGAGTCTGGTTTTTCATTAATTGGTGTAATATTATGGCACTTTTGTTTATTAATTGTGACTGAACAACTCGCTACTATAGTATCGTTTGGTGTCATATTGTTTTACATAACCACAACATATTTAAAGTATAAATACATGGAAGTGAATGAAAAACTCTGTAAAGCATTTCGCGGTCAAAACGATATGTTACTTATCAATGCTATTCGCGAATTTAATTCATTAGCACTAATAACACATAAATTGAATCGTTTTTATAAATATATTTTGTATATTTTATATTACGTGACGAGTCCCGGGTTTGAAGTCTTATTGTTTCTTATATTTGCAAAAGAGTCCACCTTGGTCAATAGGTATATTGAAACAGTTTTATTTACATCAGTTTTTGGTGTAGTTGTATTAGTAAACGTGTTGTCAACCCGGGTAAATACAAGCGCCTATAAGTGTCACTCAATTTTGTATTCATATATTTGTGCGAAAAACACAAGAATTTTAACAAAAAATAGACTCAAAATGCAGTCATTCTTAGAGAGAGTATCGGCCAAAGACATTGGATTTTATTGTTATGATATGTTTCTCATGAATAACACGGAGTTCAAGGATTTTATCGTTAATTTCATTTGTAATCATATTTTACTTTTGAATCTATTATCAATATAAAATCTGTGACATAGACATCCAACATCTATAGCATCTATTAATACTATTACTATAGTTAAGCTACTAATATATCACCCGTATATTCAATAATAAATATTTAAATGAGTTTTAAAATTCATGTTTTACATAATATGTATATTGTATAAATTAAATATTTATAATTTGTAAATATTAATTAAAAACTATTTAAAACTTAAATATATGTAAAAATATCAATATCTGTAATACAGTCATACATTTTTCAATATTTTTGTAAATACAATAGGATTTAGATATAAGAAGTATCTTGGTTTGTTTTTTATGATGAACTTTGTGAGTGTGGTGTGTATTAAGCGCCGGCACTGTTTGGACAGACATTCAAGTCTTATTTGGTCGTCAAATGATAGGTAACTCAATAAGTGTTGACACAAATTATCGCCGAAACGGTCGAAAGAGTCCTTCGCATAGAGTTCACACATTTTTGCACAAAAAATACTTATTTTTAATATATAACACAAATATTAAAGCAAAAATTATATGAATATACTTTTTATCATAACTTATTATAATACAGAGTATTAGAGGGAAATATAGTAAAATAGTTTCAAAAAATAAATTGAATGCAAATTGTGTTATAAATAGTGTTACGACTGAAACACTTGTCGACTCAATACAAACTCAACACAAAATGCATTCAAACAAAACTAGTGATCACTTCGAGACAGACCTTCACTTTTATGACCTAACATTCATGCTCTCTCTCTCTCTCTCTCTCTCTCTCTCCCTCCCTCCTTATATAATGTAAAAATTGATTTCCATAGGTATCGCGGGATATAAAATAGGAGCGCCTGGAAGGCCAGTATGAAACACACCCACTGGTAGTACGAGTGGTAAACCCCTCCCTTTATTACTAAGCCATTTAAATCTAGACATAGCATGCAATCAATAAAATTTATACACATTTCATACTCAGTCATACACACAGACTATACCAGAGAATAGACAGACATTTCGCATAGAATGCAGACATCCATTGAATAGTGAATATAATTTATGCAAACAATGGATACTTTATTGAGAAATGCTATGAAATATCATGTTTATTTGTAATTATAAATTATTCATATACATTATTTTTTTAAAAAACATTTGATAGACACAACTAATCCCATAAAATTGTTAAAATGATTTGATTATACAATACAATTGTTTATTGTTATGTTTAACCAACACATAAAAGAGTACAACATTTCAATTATTTTCTCGTGATTTGAAATTCAAATTTTGAATCACACTCTGAAGCGACGTTCAAATGCCATGGTAATTAATAGACAAATAATAATATTTAAAATTATAATGTATTTTATAATACTATTTTGAATATCAAAAACTATAAACATTTAATGTATAATATACATTGTATATCAATAAAAATAAAAAATGTATGAATACCTATGTAATGTATCACATGAAAATGTATCTACTTGCTAATTATATAATCGCACGTTTAGAGTGTAAGTATAGGGCCTATGATTATCATAAATATGCTTGTATACTCTGATCTAATAACACTGTATACTTGCTCAAATATTTAATTATCATAACAATAAATAATACTTTAAAACCCGTTCATTAATTTGTCTCCTTTTGCATCCAGTAGGCCATGGATGTCGACAATGACATCCCGAAAGTTGAGTGGATCCAAGTTCTTGGACAGTATGTCCAACACAAACCAGTCGCCTATTTGGCACTTATGGCACAATGATCGCAGCATATCTCGGGTGGACAGGCATCTCGTGCGAGTGGACAGGGATCTCACACGTGGCACAAAGATAGTCATCGCCCGATAGACGAGAGCCATGGATGTGATGATCGCCAAGAAGTAGAACCAAAACCATAGGAATAGATAAATCTTTTCGTTGAGAATATTGATCCGAAGTATACAATAGGCGTTGTGTTTTTCGACGTCACCGGACGGCCCGTACAGATGAAACGTGCATTTGGTTAGCCGTGGGAAGACTTTGAGCTGAGCAGGGTAATATTGGTTATGTTTGATATAAGTTTTCCCATTTACAACAACAGGAGAATGGTACAATATTTATTATTAAACTATATTACTAAAGCATCCAAATCTAGGTGGTAAAAAAGGCCTTTATAGTCACTATCAAAGTTAACAAAAAGTGGTCAAATAGTTGGTTAAATAGTTATTTATTTTTCTAAAATTTTAGGTAAAATCCCTTTATAATTGAATATAATGACAAATAGTTTGCATTAGTTACGAATTTTGACAATTAATTAATTATATTCATCATTTTACTCGTAAATATAATCATATTTTAGTCATTAAACAGGCAGAATTCAAATTAGATTTCTTAAAAACGAGGCAATTTAATGCTTTTAGTTTATTTGTAGAATTTGTATATTTTGTATTTGTATGAAATATAAATCAATTAATTTTATTGTTTGCTTTATTCATTAAAATAATCATTTTTATTAAAACTGTCTTAAATTTTACCATTTTAGCCCTAATTATGCATAAAAATCTAAAATAATTAAAATAGTTACGAACCCATCAAATAGTTATTTATAGGTGAAATAAAAGTCTCCTAAAATGATCCTTATTACATGACTCGTATGCATACTTAATCTCATGAAGTTCTCCGATATCGCAACAAATAGTTAAATAACTGGATTTGGATGCTTTATATATTACTGTATATTTGGTAGTTTAAAGATGCTACGTTAATTTTGCAAATTAATTTTTGTAGCTAAATAATAATGTCTATAGTTTTTAAATGATTTAGTCTACCTTAAAATTAAAATAGCTTCAAAATAAGCTAATAATGTTTTCTAACATATAGCCTAGATTCGTAATGAATTTAGTTTGTTCATATAGATTACAAAATTTATCATCCCCGAATTCGTAATATAAATAAAAATTTAAATATTTGTGATAATATTTGTGCTAGTATTTGATAAATTCAATTTTAAACTTGTAACAATCTAGTACTACACTAATTATTTAATAAGTTATCAAACTTTTTTTTAAAAATAAATTTAGTAATTACGATTAACTTAAGTCATACCATAGGATCATATTTGACATACTCGTCCCAATCGGAAAACCACAAGACATCCCAACCATAGCTCGTGAACTGTCCGCCTAAGAAGCGGTCCATCAAAACAATTTGGAGGCAAACGTTCAGCAAATTTAGGCCTTCCGTCACGACGTGCACCGCAAACAGTGTGTTATTATTGCCGAGATTTTTGTAGAGATAGTCCACCAAAAGACCACGCTTAGTATTTTTCACACCTTGGTTAAGTATGGGATTATTGAGACCCTGGAGCATTTTCTTGAACCTCCCGGCTTCCCATGATTTCCATAGGTATCGCGGGATATAAAATAGGAGCGCCTGGAAGGCCAGTATGAAACACACCCACTGGTAGTACGAGTGGTAAACCCTCTCATCAGTAGACGTACTCTTGTCTACCCCCGGATATGGCACCTCCTGGCCCACCAGTTTACGCCACGATGTGTTTATACTGTATGTAGGGTTTATCCAACAGTATGTGCCTAATAGTAATCATATATTTTGTATCATGTTAATTATTATATTATATAATACTTGTATACATTACCTAGACAAATTCTATTATGTAAATAATATGATAATTAGTATTTTATAGTTGCCACATTGATAACAAAGTAATAGTATAATGTGATAAAATAATTACTTTAAATTTATAATATATAGGCTGGAATATAATTTTCACACATAAGTCAGTTCCAAAATAGAGTAACCTGGTTATTCTATGAAAAACACACGAAGACAATTTTTGATTTCATTCATATTTATATAAGAAATNCGATGGATACAAAGACCTATTTTGTTAAAACTAATTTTATTTCAAAACTAATACAAAATCTAATTTAAAAACGTTGTATTTAAAATCAATTTTAAAATGTAATTTTATATACATTTTATGACTCATACAATCAGTCAATCAGTCACTCATATAAACTGTAATTTTATATTTTAATGAATGTGCAACACATCAATGAAATTATTTCATTTTTATTGCTTAAATAACTGTAATTTTAAACATTTAGTATTTAATATTTTAATACTAAGTTTTTGTGTATAGAATAGATTTTATGCAAATATGATATAATATAACTTACATGATATACATGTATATGATTTACATGATATAATCCATAGTAATAGGATTTAAGTAGCTAATTTTTTTTATCATTTAAAAAATATTATAGCTATTTAACAAACTATTACTCATATAATATAAACTGTTAATATTTTAAAATAGGGGTATAACACTAAAATGCTAATCCTAAAAAATATATTAATTAATTAAAGATTAAAAAATAAATACAAACTCAAAAAGTCTTTTGGTATGCCTTTGTATGCCTTGGTATGCCTTTGGTCGGACATACATTCAATGGGATCACCGATGTATTGACGAGCTTTTAAAACAACCAATAAATATAAACACATTTTATAATGATTTTATGAATGCCCTACCGGTGACCATAATACTGCTGAACATGAGTATAACCACAGTTGCCATATAGTGGAGTCGATACACAAAGTTATCGGTGACACAGGCATTAGGTGTCAGCAAATGTCGCAAACTTTTTAATATTTTTTCTTCAAACATTTTGATCACACATTCATATCATATATACATTTATATATTGCAATAAATATTTAATAAACTTAATTAGTATGCAATATACTGTACTTGTTCACACTTAAGTGTGATGAATTTAAAACTTTTTAGTACTTTCGTAAAAGTGATGATAAGTGGATCTATACTAATATTGAGTTGCTTGAGGTAGGCCTATACTGAGGACTGGGAGACAGGACCTACACATATAACACCCCCTCTGTGATCATCTTAATATAATGGTGTGTTTAAAACTTGTTTTTAAATTAAAAATCGCACCAATCACGTATAAAAAATATAACATAGAAATAAAGTATATGTAACAACAAAACCTTGTGATACGTATTGAATTACGTAATGATTTAAACAAAAGGGTTTATTACAAAAATTAATTTAAACGATTCTTGATAACCATTCAAAACAATAGATGAATGTTATATGATTTGTATCCTGGATAACTAATTTACGACTACTGTAAAGTAATAGTGTGGGTGGACCACACAACTGTTGTCATCACACAATGTGTCATGGTAATTCCGGGATGTTCATGTGACTATCCGCTTTTAATTTGGAGGTAACTATATTAAGTGAATACGTTTATGATATAGCATGGTTAGTGTTTAATTAGGAGTTTATTATTTAAAATTATAATTATTTCATCAACGTATTCACTTAATATATCTCCAAATTAAGATCAGATAGTTACGTGAACATCCCGGAATTACCTTGTTTAGTAGTGATAATAAAGTTTTGTATTTTAGTTTGAGCAGTATTTGTAATGTGAGACATAAGAGTTGTTGAAAATAATAACGTGAATTAAACTTAATTAATAATATTTTATATGCTACTCTTTAATTATGCATGGTAATAGGATTTTATTAGCTAATTGTTTATCTATGCTAAATATTATAGCTATAATATTTAACAAACTATTATTCATATAAACTGTTTATAATAAAAACACGGGTATAACACAAAAAATGTATATCATAAAAATAATTTATTAATTAAACAAAAAAATAAATTCAAATTAAATACTAACTCAAAAAATCTTGCGGTATGTCTCTGTCGGACATGCATTCAATGGGATCACCGATGTATTGACGAGCTGTTTGCACAACCAATAAATATATACACATTTTATAATGATTTTATGAATGCCCTATCGGTGACCATGAGACTGCTGAAAATGAGTATAACCATAGTTGCCATATAGTGGAGTCGATACATAAAGTTATCGGTGACACAGGTATTAGGTGTCAGCAAATGTCCCAAACTTTTCAATAGTTTTTGGTCAAACATTTTATTCATACATTCATATCAAATATATTGCAAAACTACTTAAAAACCTTAATTATAGCTATCAATATACTTGCTCACACATAAGTGCTATGATGATTTTAAAACTTTTTAGTAGTTTTATAAAAGTGATGATAAGTGGATCTATACTAATATTGAGTTGCTTGAGGTGGGGCTATACTTAGGGGTGGGTGTCGGGACCTACACCTAATATGACCCCTGTGGGCTATACTCTGTGAGCATCTTAATATAATGATGTGTTTAAAACTTGTTTTTAAGTAATAGTTTGCACCAATCACGCATAAAAAATATAACAAAGCAATTTGTATGATAAAGTATATTATTATACATAACAAAATTTGTTATATGTATTGAATACGTAATGAATTATACAAAAGAGTTTACTGCAAAAAAAATGTAAGCGATTCTAGAAAACCATTCAAAATATAGATAGTGGTTATATGATTTGCGACCCTGATAACTAATTTACGACTACTGTTTTGAGTTCAAATCTATACGAAAGGCTATAGTGTTGGGTGGGCCACACATGTAGTGATAATAATGTTATGTATTTTAGTTTGAGTTGAATTTTTAATGAGAGTCATAAGAACTGTTGAAAAATAGCTATAATTTCGGATTAGTTTTGTTCAACAAAAATGTTGTTTAAAATTTTATTAGAAAAAATGCAGATATTTGAGGCATAGATGTTCATTCCCTTCACTAAACTTAATAAACTATTAAAAGGATAGGGATTTAAGACTTGTATATAGTTTTTGTTGTTTTGAATGCACAGGTATAATAGCGCAACGTGTTTGAATTTATTATTAAATTTATGGAAAATTAGTGAAAATATTTCTATCTTATGAATGTTAACTTACAATTTATTAGTCAATTATTTTATTATAACTATTATATTTTGTTAACACATTATAACTTTGACTTTTATAATATCTTATTAAATTTTTATAACACGATAATGATTAGATAAAACATAATGTAAACTATGACTAAGAGCATATGAATTTATTTATATAATAATTGCACAATTTAATTTATTGCATATGAAATATTTATTCAGTTATCATAAACGTAATAATGTTATAAATTGTTTATAACATTCAAGTTAACAAGCTAAATAATTAGTCATTAATTAAATGCTAAAATGGATTCAAGCCAACATTTTACCAAAAGTAACCAGTACCATTTAAGTGATGACAATAAAAGTGTTAACTATAATAAGAATGAGCATGTTTACGACCCGGAATTAAATTTAGCTCAAATGCTAAGCAATGATACCATCGATACGTTTCCACTGTTTACGTCCGATAATAGCAATGCAAACCTTTTTGGTGACTATTTTGCAAAACTCCGAGAATGTGTGGACGAGAATCGACGGGTGCGGTGGCCGAGTGTAAGCACCATACTATCGGCGACAAAGTCCGACAAATCGCGAGCCGCTCTAAACAATTGGAAACTCCGCAAAACTCGTGAGTTAGGTGGTGGTGCAAGCTCATTTACAAAGTACCAAGCTAGTTTGCTGGATAGTGGTAGACAACATCATTTAAACATCAAGAACTTCCTGAAAAGTCGGGACCTGTCGCGACTCGTTTTAAACGAAAATACGGCCGGTTTTTGGCGCAGTTTATCGCCGCTGTTGTCCGACATAAGTGCTGTTCAAATGGCCGAGACTGCGGTCGCTCACCCGTGGCTGTGCTATCAGGCAATTATAAATAATATACCCTGAATATCTGTGTATAGTGCACCTATAATTATGAGAATATGTTTATTGTGTATAATAATTTTATAGATATTTTTAAAAAATACAAATTTTTATTTAAATGAAAATGTATTTTTATTAATTATTAAAGGTTATTTTGCACTTGTTCAGAGTAGTTTTATTAATGTGTTTACGTTTTTCAAAAATGATTTATGATCAAATTATTTTCATGTGTTTATTCAGGGTATTGTCGATTGTGTGGCGTATTATTGCGGGAAACTAGTGGTGATTGAGTGGAAAACTACGTCCAAACCGAAGCCATCACTGGCCGACACATACAACGATCCCCTGCAAGCGGTCGCATACATGGGTGCCATTAATTGGGAGCACAAACACCGGCTGTCCATCGATGAGGCGGTCCTCGTATACGCCTATAAAGACGGCACTGACTGTCAGGTTCATCGCTTGACTCGCGAACTATGTGTGGAGTATTGGAGCCAATGGTTGGCTCGAGTGAAATGTTACTGGAGCTCACAAACTAACATGATCAAATAAACATTGTATATCATCAAGTCAATATAAATGCAAATCGTTTATAACATAGACATCCAAAAATTGCCTTGAGAAGATGCGTGCATAAAACCGGTATGTATTTTTAAATATTTATATACTATTCTATATATTTAAATACAAAACTTGAATATTTAAATTGATGTTGTGCACAAATCAAAACTATAACCACACTGTTCACTTCATAAATGTAGGTAAACATTATTTTATTCATAATCGTTTTTTTGAATATTAAACTTATTTTTTGGTTTATAATATTAAAATATAATTTTTACAGCAAAGTGTTTTCAACAGTAAATAACAATTGCTACATCAACATATATTTTAGCCAACATTTTATTATTAATTAGCATATTAAATATTTTGTATTTTAATGACAACCTTTCCAATATTGCGACCCTGATACAAGTGCTTTACGAATACAATAAAAAGAGATAATATTAAAATTGTTTGGTAATTAAATTAACCTTGCACATCATATACTGTACCTCAACTCCACTGACCACAGACTCTATGCCCACGAACTCCCCTTCACTCGTGTTTTGTCCCAAATCTAACACAACTCGCAGTTTGTTATTCACAACGTCTCCAATCAATTGCTGCACATGTTTGCCAAATAAAGCCTTGTGATCCGATATATTAAACCCTGATAATGTCCTAGAGCCGCTTAAAAGCTTAATAAATAAATATATATTAATAATTGATAAATGTATCAACTATATAAATCAACAAGCTAAAACCAACTTTCATGTTAAGGTTGTCAATGGTAGGCCATGTTAACTGTCCACTAATAGAGCCTATAATTAATAGTCTACCCTTCGGTGCCAAATGATTGAACAGAGTTTCGTATACCTGTCCACCAATTGTCTCCCAAATCACGTCCACGCCATGCTATGTATAATAAATTGTAATTTTAATTTTTAGCAAAAATTTTATATAATATTAAGTGTTTTTTTAAACCGGAAACTCTTTAGTGAGCACTTCATCCAAGTTCTCGGTCTTATAAGTGATCACTCGATCGGTTCCCAACTCTGTCAAGAGTTTGGCCTTTTCTGGCGATGATGTCAACCCAATAACATAAGCGCCCTTTCGTTTAGCCCATTGGACGCCTATATGACCCGTTCCTCCCGCGGAGGCTGTGATCAACACTTTATCCCCTTTTTGAATGCGACCCAACTTTTTGGGTTAATTATTGGTATATAAGTGATATTTCTGGACACAATTGAAGCGCTAATGCATACCTCATCCAATCCAATGGTTGCCGTTAAGCCCGACACTAGTAATCCAAGAAACTTTGGGTTCAGACTCGGGACTGGTATCACATCCTCCGGTTTGACATACTTTTTCATGAATACATAAAAATTACATTTAATATATGAGTGACCGAGGTCACGAGTGCCGTATCTCGAATAAATATACAAACTGTATTGTAGTGTTTAACTATGGGTGTCAACTAAAGGGGTTGGAATCTTAAAATTTGAAATATACCATAATATTCCATATTAAATTCTAAACACATTGAGCTAGATAAATTAAGCGAATGGATATACACACTATTAGAAAAAGAATAATCTTTATATTCAAAAATCATAGAATTTTGCATAAAAAACTATTATACTGTATATAACATTGAGTTTGAATAAATATGAATCAAACAAAATGTATAGATTATAAATTCACATTGACACTATAAATGAAAATATAATTATTCATTAATATTTATATTGGGCTGTTATGCCAAATTCTATAGTTTTTGGATATGAAGAATATTCTTTTTTTAATAGTGAATATATACATTCGCCTAATTTAGCTAGCTCAATGTGTTTAGAATTTTATATGGAATATTATGGTATATTTCAAATTTTAAGATTCCAAACCCCTTTAGTTGACACCCAGAGTAAACTTAAAACACATAATATTGATGCAGTTTACAATTTATTCAGGCATAATCTAGTAATTGAATTATGAGATATGTTATCTATGAACTCCGCCACTCATATGTAAACTTGATTTATTCTCAAAATGGCCAAAAACTAGCCTATAATCAATATAACATACTATTTACAA